GGGGGAACTGCTTCAGGTGCACTGCAGGTGTGGCTGGGGTGGGCCAGGCAGTACTGAGTGCAAGGCCATGGGCAGGGCGACTCCCCGGGGGGCCTTTGCACAAGGTGGAAACCTTTGTCTCCTGAGTCTTCAGCTGAGAGCAGTTGAAATTCCTGTAGCTGTTGGGGTGGGGGCTGAGAACCAGGATGAGCAGGTAGGTGGGGCTGAAGAGGCTGCCAGGGTGGGGCACCCAGACTTGGTTTCTGTGAATCACAAGCCCCGGGTGAATGGGCCTCAGTGTGGGGTTCTCAAGGCAGCCGGCGGGGGGGTGGGCATTGCCCGAGGAGGCCATGGGGGCTCAGGAGGAGGCCCCCAGACTTCTTGGAGAAACAGCCACTGGAGCCAGGTCCTGAGAGGTGGGGAAAAGTTGGGTAGGCAGAGAGGGAACGAAGGCATTCTAGTGGTAAGAAAGAGCATTGCCCAGGTGGGAGAGCATGGGACACTGGGGGGTCACAAAATAGCTAGCTCCACCTGGCTGCACAGTAAGATTGCAGGTAGACCAAGGTCGGGGACAGGGGGCGGGCGGGGGGATCTCCCTGGATTAGGAATCAGGCCCGCCACCCCCACTGCTGATGTTTATAGGCCAAGCCTCTGTCCACCCTGGGTTCCCTCTCTCTCTTTTCAGGGTTGAGGGGTGACCCATTGGCAAAGCAATGACAGGTGCTTCCATGATCCACACGTCCCCCTAAGCACCCGTGGACAGCGGCATGGGCTGGCATCACCCCCCCAAAGGAGAAGGCTGCCTGACTGTGCTCTTCCAACTCTGGGCAAAGCCCCCTCCCATGCTGGCCATGCACCTCTCCGGCGATCAGGCCCCAGGGCTTCCTGTGGGGCAGAGCAGCTAGCCTAGCAGGCTGGCAGGCACAGAGCAGACAGGCTGCCATGAGGGGCTGCTGTCTCCCGGGGCGGGGGGGCAGGGGTGCGGAGAGGGGGAGTAGGGGCAGAGAATGCTGAGCCCCTACTTTCATGTCCTATGCCCTGGCCCCTGGGCCCACCTCCAGCGGCTCACAGAAGGTTCGGACTCCGGCTCAGGCCCTGCACTCTGTGAGATCCGAGGTCCTCCTCAGTCCACAAGGTTCACGTGCTGGGAAGAGTCCTGGCTCTGAAGCCATAAGCTTGGGGTTCAAGTCCCAGCTTCACCACTTACTAACTGAACGGCCCTTGACATGTTGCTCAAACCTTCAAACCTCAGTGTCTTCCTATGAACGTGGGGACAAGACCTGAGGGCCTTGGGGGTGGGGGGTGGGGAGTTGGTCCAAGTGAGTACGTGCGTATCAAGTAGCCAGCACAGGGCCTGGCACGGAGGCCAGGGCGAGATACATGTGAGGAGATGTTGTGTGGGAGAAGGGGTGAGTTTACACCCCCTCCGATCAGCAGCATTGTCCTGTAATTCCCACTCCATCTTCCTCCTGGTAGGGCCAAGGGGGCAGGCTGGACATTCAGAGGAGAAGCCTAGCCCAGAGTGGTGATGACCCACGGCCATCCTGTGGGGACACGGATGCTAGCGTACTTCTGGCCAGCCCCGCCCCCAACCTGGGCTGATCGGAGAGCTGGGCCCGAGGCTTGCGCCCAGCGCAGAGGAGGGCCAGCCCCCGACTCCAGGGTGGGTGCTGCCCCACCCTTTCCAGAAACCAGGCTGCAGTGTCAGGGGTGGAGCTCCACCTGGGAGCAAGTTCGGCACACCTCCGGCCAGGCGGTGGCACAGACCTGGGACCGCCGAGTGTCAAAGCCACCCACCCCGAGCCCCCAGTGGTCTGGCCAGGGAGAAGGCCTGACCCTGGAACACAGAGGGAAGAGAGGCTTTCAGGGGCTCCGTGAAACCCCATAGACAAGGAGGAGCCAGCTTGGACCCAGCATGGGTGACTCGGCTTCCCCACACCTTGAGCCCTTGAAAGGGGCTGGTGACAAGTTACGACTAGAATGGCCTTATTGACGGCTACGTGCGCTCCCCACTTCCCATGCACCAAGCGCTCCTCCAGTTTCCAGACACACTACCCCATTAGCCTTGCTGACAATCCCCGTTTTTCACAGAAGGGAACTCGGGCACAGAGAAAGGGGGTAACTCGCCCGGAGTCGCGGAGCTGGGAAGTGGCGGGGCCAGAATTTGATGGGAGAAAGCAAGACTCGGGCTTCAGAGCATGGAGTCTCTGGCGGGAAGAGCTGGATGCCAAGGCAAGCGGCCCCTGGAGAATCCATCATTCTCTCCTGGCTTTTCCTCCTCAAAAGTGGGTTTATCATGTGAATGCATTTCATGACCTGAGCTTGTTAGGAGAGAAAATCTGATGATAGGAGGACGGCGGGGGCGACGGGTGAGCAGAGCTCGGAGGTCATTTCCCTGAGCATATACACGGGGCGCCAAGAGATCTGCCAGGTGAGAGGTGCGCCCAGAGCAGGGGGAGGTGGGAACCTCGTGGAGACGGTGGTGCCTGGGCGATTGCAGGGGACGGTGCAGGGCGGAATCAGGGTGTCTGGTGGCACAGTTCGACCCGCTGCAGCCTCACCCAGGTCCCGAGTATGGCTCTCGGCCATACTCGCTCCCTCCCTCAGTGTTTGATTCGGCTCCCGCTGCACGGTGAGCACAAGAGTGACAGAGTCATGAATGAACCAGGGGGGAAGTGTGCATGCCTCTCTGCACCTTGCCACTCGCTTGTGAACCCATCACAGCGTGCTTCTGTGCACGCGTCCGTGGTCCCTCCGTTCTCTAGGAATGTCTTGGGGGAAGCACAGGACGAGGCCCAGAGCCCATGGCATCGCCTGTCGGATTTGGAAGGGCCCCTCCCTTGGTCTGATGACCTAGGTATGCCCCTGCACCCTGACCCCCGTCTGCTCTCTCCTTGGCGAGTAGGACAGAACAGGGCCACCTGCCCAGTCTCTTCACTTAGGGACAAATGCCCCAGGGCCCGTGCAGACCAGCTATCCGCAGGGCTCCCATCTGGAGACAGCACCCATGTCACCCTGCAGAGTTCTTGTTCGGTTGATGGGGACCTCGACTGGATTCCACGGAGTCAGAGCAGAGGAAGCCCTGTGTGGGGACAGCGTCTAGGGTACTCACAGGGTCTTCCCGAAACACTGGGTGACTTCAGGAGAAAAGAGATACATGGGACCTGGCCTCAGGGAGGCTCAGAGTAAGACAGCAAGGCTGCCTCCATGTCCCCTTCAGAGTATGGTCATTGAAGGAGACACCACACCTGCTAGGGCAGAGGGATGATCATGAGGACCCTGGTGGGAAAGGAGGTGCAGGAAGCAGGACCCAGGACCACACCATCAGTCCCTCTTGCTGCCCCAAGGAGAGAATGAGACAGGAGGTGGAGCCCCCATGGGGATTTGGCAGTTGGAAAATTCTGGAGTTTCAGTTCTGGATTCCATGCCCCTCTCTCTGGTAGCAGGGAGGGTGGGGTTCAGTGGATCTCCCAGAGACAGTGGTGGGAGCCCTCTGTGGACCTAAGGCCCTGTATCCCGCCTCCTGCCTTTTGGCCACTTACAGAGGCCCTTCTCATTCCCCACCAGAAGCCCTTGGATTCTGTGATAACCGGGGCTCTTCAAACACACCAGGCCAGCCCTTCCTTCGAGGGCTTTCTATGTGCTGTTCCCTCTTCCCATCCCTGACCCCTGGCCTTGACTTTCTTCTTCTCATCTTCTGAGACTTGATGTAGAAACCTTTTCCTCTAGAAAGCCCTCCTGCTCACCAATGCCAGGTGGGGTGGCTCTTGTCTGTGCTTCCCCAGCACCTTCTGCCCTGCCTGCTGTGACACTGAGCTGGGATCTTCTGTTGGCCGCCCCTCTCCCACTGGGCTCTGAGCTCCACGAGGGCAGGGATGTGCCTATTTAAATCACAGCATCACCGACACCTGACACAGCACCTAGCACATATTTGGTGCTCAGGAGACATTGGATGGATGGATAGGTGGATGGATGGGTGGGTGGATGGATGGATGGATGGATAAGAAATGAGGCCAAGACCCCAGGCTAAGCCCCTCCTCATTGCCCAGGGACCATATCCTTTCCATCTCTGTATCCTGGCCATCTATCACAGTGCTTGGCACGTGGCACAGGATAAGTGGGTCTATATTGTCTCTTGAGAGTCACAGGGGTGATGCCCGCAGGTACAGACAAAGGGAATGCAGTGTAGGATTAGAAGCATAACTGTGGTAGCAGTTACAGGAGGGTCCAGGGTGCTCAGAGCAAGGAGAAATCAATCACTCTGCGTGGAAGAGTATGGGAAGACTTCCCAGGGACAGTGGGGCTCCCTTTGGTGGATGACAAGTGGAGAATTGAGGGAAGGCCTTCCAGGCAGAGGGAGTAGCTGGAGCAGAGTCATGGGAGCGCCACATTCAGGGGGTTCCTCTAGGGAGCTGTTGAGTTAGGTGCTCTCCCATCCCATATCGTTTCCCTTCTGCCAACTGGGCTCAATGCCGCCATGCCATCTTCTTCAACTCAGGGACCCTGTGGGCCCTGGTTTACACTCAAGCCCTAGAGGACTTGCAAATGGCGGGACCAGCCCGTGGCTCTCAGCAGCTCATCTCTGCCTGAAAAGCTACCTGATGAAACCGGCCCTCTTTCCTCCCTCATCGGCTCCCTGCCCCTCAGACGCCTGCTTCCTAGTCCCCCGCCAGGAAGAGAAAGAAAACAGGCCCATCCTAAAAGGCCTCCATTGTTCCCAAGGAGTGACTCACACAGGAATAGGAACACTTGTCCCTGCACTCGGCGCTTGCCCCCAGTGGGCCTCCAAGTGACTCACAGCAGCTCCCGTCACAAGCCCTTCTGTTGTCGTGAGGCCTGGGCCCTGAGTAAGCCTGTGCCTCCCCCGGGGCCAGCCGCCCTCTCCCCTCCCCGAGCAGGTGGGAGGGGGCTCCTTTGAGTTTGGCAGTTCCCAGGGGCCTGTGTCCCTGAGGGTCTGCTCTGGGCCCTGACTCACTGCGAGACAGGCTCTCACCTCAGTTTCCCTCCCTCTGAAGGGGAGCTGACAGACAAGGCAGGAGATGCGTGCTGGCTTTTATTATCGGCATGCGTGGGCATGTGGGGGTACAGGCACGAACAGCAGCTCCCAGCCGGGCCAGCTCCTGGTTTCCAGACCTGAGTCTGCCTCCCATGCCCAGGAGGGCCCCAGAAGCTGGGGGCGAGCAGGGCGGGGACACAGCGAGGATCTTTGGTGAGGGGGAACTGCTGCCCCTACTTCCAGCGCCCGGTGACCTTGGCCTTCCCGCGGGTCTTGGAGCTGCAAAAGAAGCAGGGCCCAGTCAGAAGTGGGACCCAGGCCAGGGCAGCAGGTCTCCACAAGGAGGAGGCAGAGGGGGTTGATGCAGAGGGCTGAGAGGGGCAGCCTGGAGCTGCCTCCAGATGTAGAGTAGGGCAGCAGGCTGGAGGGAGTCCTTGGGGGCCCTGCACTCCATTCCCCACTGAGCAGTGATCATGGGGGAGCCCAAGGCCGAAGCAGCCTGTGCCCTGAAGGGGAGGGGGAAGGGGTGGGAGCCAGAGCCCTCAGAGGAGGAGTGGGAGGGCTGGAACACAGGGAAGGAGGAGGCAGGGCTGGGTGTTGGAAGGACCTAGAAACTTACACTTTCTGGTTATCATTGATCCTGTTTCGGAGAACATTGATCTGTAAGTGGGAAAGATAGAGTAACTTTGGAGCTCATTGATTCAGGTCCCAGGTGGCTGGGGGTGAGGGAGAAGCCGGCTTAACACAGTTGTGGGGGAGGAGGGAGGAGGAGGGGAAGGAGGGAGGAGGGGGAAGGGGGAGGGGAGGGAGGAGGAGAGGTGGAGAGGCCAGGCAGCGAAGCTGTGAGGGTCAGAACGGTTAGAGATCCAGAAGGGCCCAGGTCCCACACGCAGAAGCTGTGGAGAGGCTTCCTGACCACCCCACTGGCCTGTCACTGTGGGGGTCCCAGAGCCAAGGAGGGCTCGGGACAAGGGTGGCATAAAGAGGCTTTCTGAGAATCCAGTGCAAGGCTGGGCCTCAGGAAGCCCTCCAAACAGCCCAGCCCAGCCTGAGACACCCCCCTCCCCAGGCACTCCTGCCCTGTTGCTCAAGAGGGGCAGCATCCCCATGGGCCACACCCACCCGCCCTGTATTTCGGCCAAATCTAAGCCCGGCAGGCCAGTTGCAGAGTTAAATAAGGAACCAAAGGAAAAGAGGAAGGCCCAGGCCTGGAGCAACTGTAATAGTAGCTAATGGCTACCGAGCACTTAGTGGGGTACCCGGCATTTTCTGTTCCGTTATGAGCTCTTTCCCAAATATTAACCCATAGGATTACTGTGAGGTATAACTTCATACATGTAAAAGTGCTTGAACAGTGCTTGGAACACGTTGTTACTGTTATTATTACTATTGTTACCTCTGTAACCGTCACAATAGCCCTGTGAAATAGGGCCTGCCGGCATCCTTGTCATTTAGATGGGAAACGGAAACAAGGAAAAGTAAGTGACTTGCCCACGGTCACACAGCCGGTAAGGGGCAGAGCTAGCTACAGAACCCAGGCAGTGTGGCTCCGAAGTCCCTGCTCACTGTCACTGCACAAAATTGCCTCTCTGCAGCCACGGGGGCCTGAGCTGTGCTCAGAGGAGGGGCCCGTCACATAGGAGATGCAGGAAAAGCAGGCCCCGAAAGGGAAGCTGGACTCCTCGAAGCAGAAGGGCCCCCCGGGGAAGTGCGCAGGACCCGTCCCGGCTGAGCCGATCCTTGCTGGCTGTCTGTACACCTGGGACCCTCCAGGCTGTGAGCTGGAGGCTCAGCTGGCTGCGCCCACACCGGGGCCTCGGGGGCCGTAGGGAGAGGTGAAGGGGCTACCTCTCTGGTGAGGCCTCCTCTCCCCCAGGAGGCCTGGCTCTGTGCATCCTACTCCTCCCGTCGGGCTCAGCGCATCTGAGCTGCTGCCTCAAGGCCTTCAGGGACAGAGGGAGGGAGCCCCCCCAGGGCTGGAACCCCAGAAATGGGTCTTTGCTCAGCTCCAGCCAGTGAACCATCAGACTTCTCCAACAAGCTGTAGCCCAGGGGTGGACGCGCAGCCTTGTCAGGGACAAGACACCCGGGCAGGTGTGTGAGTTGGCGTGGGTGATGGATGACAGGGACCGGGGAAAGGGGCCTGACTGGCAGCAGCAGCGCGGGACCTGATCAAACCAGGAGGAGCATGGGATGGGGGAGGGCAGCAGTGAGCAGGCTCACTTCGTATTTCTGCTGCTTGAACTTCTCCTGCAGGTCGAACTTCTCTGCCTCCAGGTTGTAGATGCTCTGCCATAGCTCCTTGGCCTTCTCCCTGCACCGGCCAGAGTGGGGATGGGGGGAGGGACAGGGAACGATAAGGAAGGGTCTTCATCTGCCTTGATCCCAAATCCGACCCAGCCCCCAGAGGCCCCAGCCCTCCTTCCCACCTCCAGGCCTGCTAATGGGACCCCCAGCCCACCTGGCTCAGCATGGGGCCCAGATGGCAGTGCCCAGTGCTTAGGAACAGGTACCAGGGGCTGTTAGGGCAGAGTTGGGGGGAAGAGGGAAAAGCCCTTCTAGCACTATAGAGCGCAGTCCAATCCCCCTTCCCACCACCTGGATGCAGGTGGGTAAGGAGAAGCTCAGAGGGGTGAGGTGCCTGTTCAGTTCTCTTTCCCTATTCCCTGAAGGCAAAGCACTGAGCTGGCCTGACCGGCTCCCTCCCAACTCCACTCCCACTGGAGTCTTGGGAAAAAATATGTGGTATGGCAGCGCCCCCTGGTGGTTCATGTGGAGAATGTGCCCTCTGCCCCGCCTGCCCTCCCCACGCAGATGTAAGCAATGTCCGGAGGACCACCAGCCCCCACCTCAGCTGATCTTCATTCAGGTGGTCGATGGCCAGCACCTTCCTCCTCTCAGCCAGAATCATCTTCTTCTTCTCCCTCTCTGTCTGCCTCTTCCCGCTTTTCCGCTCCGTCTGGAGAGGGTGACAAGCAGGGGGCGTTGGCTGGAGAACACAAACCCCCTCTCCCCTAACCCTCCCCAAACCCAATAGGGAGTAAGGCAAGGCCTGCAGAAGGACTAGGTCCTAATCCTCTTCTTCCTGAGACACCCACGCCATCAACTGCATGGATTTCCAGGAGAAACTGAGGCTGGGGCAAGGAGGACCATTTCAGTCCTGTGTTCCTTTGCCTCTCCAAATTCTTCCATCTGTCTCCCGGCTCCCTCCTCCCACTTACACATTCTCCACACTCCTCCCCTCCAGCCAGGCACCCTCCCCTCCCAGGGAGCCCCCAAAACCATGAGGAGGAAGAGGGTTAGAGGTTTTTGTACCCACCTGGGCCTGCAGGGCCAGGACACCATGAGAGAAAGGCCGAGAGAGAAAGAACGAGACCCGGACAGAGACGCAGAGAGAGAGCAGAGCACAGGGCCGGAGGCAAAGGCAGAGAGACAGGGGAGAAGGAGAAGGTGATTCAGACGCTCCTGCAGGCAACCTTGTTTATTAGGACAGGAGTCTGGGGGTGAGGCACAGACTGTTTAGAGAGCGGGGCCTCGCCAAAAGTCTGGCTGGAGTGGTCGCTGTGGGGGCAGAGGCAGGCAGGCTGGTCTGGTTCTGAGCTGGGGACTTTAGAAATCTAAAAAAATGTTCTGATCTCTCCACTGCATAGAGAAAAATCAATGTTTTATTTCCTCTCCTCCCTTGAGAATGGAGTACCTAGCAGGAGTGGGACACAGAAATTAGAAGCTGAGGGAGTCCGCAGGAATAAACCATCTCACAGCTGTGTGGGACAAGGATGCTTGCCACGGGAGCCCATCTGATCTCCGAGCAGGCAGGGCAGACAACATTAAAGCGACTTTACAGGTGAGCTAGCTGAGCCTCTGAGCTTGCCCGAGGCCACACAGCTGTATCAGAGCTCTGATTCTAGGCACGAGGCTCTTCCAGATGCACCAGCCAGCTTGGGGGCCCCCAGGCACCGCTGAAACGGGGGGGGGGCCTCTGCCAGCAGCCCCCACCCCAGCAGGCCCCTCCTGGGGAAAGCCACAGTCAGGCAGAGAGCCTGGGGCGGGGGGCGGGGGGGGGGGGGGGCAGGAGGAGGCTTCGGTCTCTCACACCAGGTGGGAATTTCCTCCTGGAATCCAACTTGAAGTCTGTGGACACCCCACTCCTCCCCATACACCAGGACCCCCTGAGACAGTTGCTGCTCCCTGACCTACCTTCTGGATGTAGCCCCCGAAGTGCATCATGTTGGACAAAGCCTTCTTCTTCCGGGCCTCATCCTCGGCCTTCCTCCTGTTCTCCTCCTCCTCTCGTCGGGCTCTCTCTTCCTGGTTTCCATGGGGGGGGGAGGAAGAGAGCAAATCGGGGGGCACAAACCCCTGACACTGGGCTGAAGTCCGTGGTCTTTATGGGTCAGTTGAGTGGCGCTTTCTCTCCACCGGGCAAGAAGCCTCCTGAGGGGACCCCCCAGCACAGGGCCCGGCACATGGGAGCGTGAAGACTTTTGTTGATGAATGAGGGAAGAATGATTCCCAGGTGTGGCTCCCATCCCTGCCTCAGGCAGGGAGCCCGTCCCCCCACCCCACCCCTCCCCTCCAGGAGGCCTGGTACCCTGGAAGGACCTCCAGCAGCAATACGGGAAGAGGGCCATGGGCCCTTCTGTTCCCGGGGAGCCGGCACAAGGGCAGGGAGGAGGGCTGGAGAGGACCTACTTGGGTTATAATGGAAGTTTTGTACCTTTCGGCCCCTTCCATCCATTTCGCCCACCTCCACCTGCTGCCTCTGGCAACCACCAGTCTGTTCTCTGTACCTATGAGCTTGGTGTTTTGGTTTTGGTTTTGTTTCATTTTAGATTCCACATATAAGTGAAATCATACAGTATCTGTCCTTCACTGTCTTATTTCACTTAGCATAATACCCTCAAGGTCCATCCATGTTCTCACAAATGGCAAGATTTCCCTCTTTTTTATGGCTGAGTAATATTCCTCTTTGTGTACACATTTTCTTTATCCATTCCTCCATCGACAGACACATGGCTTGCTTCCATGTCTTTGCTACTATTAAGAAGCCTGCAGTGAATGGGGCACAGATATCTTTCCGAATTCATGGTTGCATCTTCGGGTAAATACCCAGACGTGGAACTGCTGGACGGAGGGTCTTATAAAATAGTAAGTCCGGGAGGACCCAGACATTTCTGTCTTGTTTACTGTGTATCATCAGAATCCAAACAATTCCCAGCACCCCACCAGGGGCTCGTGGACTGAATCAGTGTGTATGAAGACAGAAGGGTCTGGGAGGCCTGGAAGGAGCTGGAAGCACGGTGGGGGGGGTTCTGTGGGCCTTGCACTAGGGGTCACTCACAGCCAGGCGAGTCTGCCGCTCCTTCTCCTGCTCATTCCGGATGCGCTGCTGCTCGGCCCGCTCCGCCCGCCGCTTCTCCTGCGGGGAGAGAGGCCAAGCCTGCCCACTGTGTGCACAGGGAGGAGGTGTCGTCCGAGGTGCCGGGACCAAGCGGGGAAAGCGGTGGCAAGAGAGCCCACGGGGGATGTTCCCCACCGAGTCTCAGGGCAGGGCAGGCCCTGCCTCCGAGGGCTTCCACTCTCAGCCAGCTCCGTGGGCGTGGACGCAGATGGCCCCCCGACAGGTCCAAAGGCCCCAGCTAAATAAAGACAGGCCACAGCGGGCATGTGCGGAGGGCCTACACTGACCATCACTCATCATGGGGTTGTCCTCAACGATCTGACAAACGTCAGGCGGGCTTCTCCCGTCTCCCCTGACTGCCATGCCCCTGGCCCCACGCCAGCCCCGGCCCCTGCTGCGTGTTCACCGACAGATGGCCAAATCCTCAGCGGGGGGCCAGCTGGAGCCGCGCAGCCGTGTGCCAACGCGGCAGCGAGTGTGGTGGGGAGAAAAACAAAGGAATCAAAATAACCTCCCCTCTCCCCAGCACAGGCCGCATCACCCTCCCTGCGTTGGTGGGGGGAGCTGGGTCCAGTGGGAGGGAGGCAGGGGCCGAGGTGGGACGACAGCCAACTGACCGGTCATCCCACAGCCAGAGCCCAGGGCGCCCAGAGACGATCAGCAGCTCCGGCTGCCAAGCACCATCCAGTCTGGTGGGGAGGAAAGCGGGGACCCGAGAAACCACAGTGCAGGGCCTCCGGAGCGGCTCCAGGCCGCAGGGATCCTGGGGGAGAGCCCACTTCCCGCAGGGTCAGGGGCCCCAGGGAAGGCTGCCCGGAGGAGGCGGTGCCTAACACAGAGGGGGGAGGACAGAGTGCGTGGCCTCTGGGGGCATTTCCACGGGAGACTGGACACCCACAATTCTGTCTTTGAGTGAGATGAGCTCCTCCTCCTCTTTCTTCCTGTTCTCAAAGTGAGCCTCGATCAGCGTCTGTAGTTCATTCAGGTCCTTCTCCATGCGCTTCCGGTGGATGTCCTGCGAACGCACAGCAGGCTCAGGGCTGCTGAACCCACAGATCCGGAGGACAGCGGCTGGGTAGGGAGCACCGTCCGCAGAGCAGAAGCGATGGGCGGGCTGGGGGCCTGGCCCGGGAAGGGGCCGCGGTGGCCTGAACCCAGGATCAGGCCTGGCCAGGTCTGTGCCGAGCACCATCCCACCTGCCACGTCACCCCACCCCGCCCCCCACCAGGCCCCCAGGCCTCCTCGGGGCCTCCGCGCTCCCCACAGGCACACTCACATCAAAGTCTACCCTCTCCCCATCGGGGATCTTGGGCGGCACCAAGTTGGGCATGAATGGCCTGTTGGAGAGAAAAGGAGGGAATCCGTGAATGTCATCCCACCGTGGCCCCAGCGGACTGTGGGTGCCCCGGGCGGGCAGGGCCCTTCCCCTTCCTGCGGAAGCACGGCTACAACAGTTAAGCCACATCACCGTCAAGGACAGCAACCTCGCACCCGGGGCCACCAGGCTCTCTCATACGTGCCCTCTCAATTCATCCTCCCCCTACGCCCGCGACGTAGGACTGCCCATCTCGCCAAAGACGCCTGAGGCTCAGAGAGGTAGGGACGTGCTCAAAACCACACAGCTAGGAAGCGGAGAAGCTACGACACGTGTGGCTGACCCCACAGGATCTCCCATGAGCCCTGGAGTCCTGTGGTTTGGTCCCAGCCCCAACGCATGCTTGCTTTGTGACACCAGGTCCAGTGGGCTCTGGTCCTCACTTTCCCCATTTGCCCTCAGGTCTGGGTGGGGCTGAAATGAGATACTGCAGTGGCCATTCAGGTGGCCAGGAAAGGGAAAGGCTCTGGACAAACGAGCAGAGCTGGGATTATCTCCGGGGCCGGTTTCAGGAGGTCCCATGGAAGCGGGGAGAAGCCTGCGAGTGTGGGCGGAGACGCCATCGGCTGACAGGTTGAGCATCGCAGAAAGGGAAACCTTAGTTGGCCAACCCCTCCCCCCTGCGCCCCCCTCCCCCGACACCCACAGCTTGCAGGTGCTTTCACATGTGTGGACCCAAGCCACCCTGCCCCGCCCCTCTGCGACACTGTGAGGCCACCCAGGCTGGCAGAGTGTCATTACTTGGCTCCCCCAGATTTTCTTTTTTTTTTTTTTTTAAGATTTTATTTATTTATTTGACAGAGACAGAGAGAGCAAGAGCCCCAACACAAGCAGGGGGAGTGGGAGAGAGAGAAGCAGGCTTCCCGCTGAGCAGGGAGCCCGACTCGGGGCTCGATCCCAGGACCCCGGGACCATGACCTGAGCCGAAGGCAGACGCTTAACTGACTGAGCCACCCAGGCGTCCCTCCCCCAGATTTTCTTCCCTCTTCCCTCAGGTCCCAACTGAGCTACAGAGGAAGGTGTTCCAGCCTTGGGATAGGACAGGGCATCCGTCCAGGGCCGCAACTAGTCCACCCCTTTCCTCTAGATGAACACAGTGCTGTCCACGACGGGGTACGCAATTGGTAATGGAGTGTGGGTGGACTTCAGTCCCCGCTCTCCCTCAGGCCGACTCTCGTGCAGTACACAACCTCTACTACCGGGTCTGTGCCTGCCGCACCCCGCAGCCCATGCCCACTGGGCCATACTGCACTTCTGTCCTGCCCTAATCATCCCTCAGGGCTTCACCACAGGTGTGTCCCACTCACCTGGGCTTTGGTTTGGACTCCTCCACTGGGCCATCTGGAGAGAAGCACAGAGCCACAAGGTCAGGAGGCCCCAGATCCGGTCCCAGCTCTGCGCCTGATGAGCTGGGCACCTACGGGCCTCCATTTCCCCATCTGCACAGTGAATTCCTTCTAGCCCTGGGGATCCCTGGTTCCAGGAGCATCATGAAGAATTAAAGCAGCAGGGTCACAGACCCCACACTCGCTCTCCCATAGCAGCTCCCAGGGGGGACATCTCAGGGCACAGCTGGGTCCTAACAGGAAGCACACACTCCCAGAGTGAAATTTCCAAGACTTTTCTCATTCGCCAATTCTGGGCAAGGCAGCTTTGCTTCCCAGTGAGGAAGGGTCCCATGGCACTGTCCCAGGGGATCCTGGCCCCAGGGTCCCCACCCAGGTCTCTGACTCCTTAGTTGCTCCCTGGACTTCCTGGCCTCCAGGAGGGAAGCTGATGGGCAAGACCCAGCTGGCCCCTCCCCTCCGGAGACGTGACTGGGACCACTGCACCCTTGCCAAAGCCTGCCGCATGACAAGGATCACCACAGTGACCCACCACATGGACCGTCTATGTCTTGGGATTTCATCCTATAGACACCACACATTACAAGTGATTTTGCCTGAGTTCCAGGAGCCTTGTATGTGTAGGTGACTTCTGGGGGCCCTGCCCAGAATGGGGACTGGACATTGGTCCCCTCTCCCACAGGGCACCACCCAGGCAACTTCTCTAGAATAAGGGGGACAGAGGTTTGGAGCCAAATACCCAAAACCTGCATGGTCACCAACTTCTGTCCTCCCCTCCCCTGAGCCCCTCCTCGCCCACCTCCCTGGAGGAAGCCCTGTGGTCAGTCTCCCCCCAAAGCTGCTTGTAGGGGTTCCCTTGACACCCCAATACCTCTCTCCTGATGTCCAACAATCCTTACCTTCAGCTTCTTTAGCCTCCCCTTCTTGTCGATCTCCTAAACAGAACATGAGACATCAATAAGATCCTTGTTCTAGGCTCAAGTCCCCCTGACAAGAGTCTCCCCCACACACAGGTCCTAACCAAAGTGCACCCTGCCAGCTCCCGTGGTCAGGGGATGTCTATTCACGCACATGCCCCTGGGCCCAAGGCTCTGCCTGACATGAAAGGAGCACACAGTCAAGGTCATTGACCAGACCATCGGCGGCTGAATCCCAGCCCAGGCAGGATGTGCGGCTGTACAGGCTGGAACGTGGCTTCCAGGTGTATTTCCTAGCGCCACAGGAATGCCTCTGGGGGCTCCTGCCACGTCCCGAAGCACCAGGACAAAGCCCCTCACACCCTCACCCCAGACAGACCCTTACCTTCTGCATTGGTCTCCTCCGTCTCAGCCTCACCTTCAGCCTCTTCTGCTGCCACCTCTTCCTGCTCTGGAGAAGCGAGCCAGACACAGTGAACACCCAGGCCCCTACTTAGGCTAGCAGGCAGAACCCAGATCAGAGAAGGCTCGGGACGGAAGTTAGCAACACCCAGGATCCAGATGAATTTTGGGGTCACCGATATGAATGACAAGGGGCTGCTCAGTTCCGGGTGTAAACCAGAAGTTGGCAAACTATGGCCCAAGGGCCAAACCTGGCCCCCAGACTGTTTCTGTAAATAAAGTTTTATTGGAACACAGCCACATCCATCCATGTAGGCACTGCCTCTAGCAGCCTTTGCCTTACTGCAGCAGAGTTCAGTAGTTGCAACAGATACTGTGGGGCCCACGAAGCCTAAAATATTTCTATCTGCTTCCATTACAGAAAATGTTTGCTGACCCTGGTCAACCATGACAGAAGGGCATGATCCGGCCTGTGAAGAGTCCTTTTGTTCAACACTTGCCTCTCCCAGAGTTTGGGAACTGGAATTGGGCCTTTCTGAGCATGGAGACCTGTTCTCTACCTGAAAGCCACTGGGAGGGCCAGAAGTCTGAGGTAGGAGTGCGTTAGGGTGTGGTAGGTGCCGTGGGTACCCGCGGAGAAGGGCTTGCAGGCCTGGCAAGGCTCATTGCTGGGGGCGGGGAGGTCTGGTGGCTAATAGCTGTTTCTGCCTGACTTAGCGTCTTTCCCCAACAGCCTCCCTGGAAATGTGATTCCACCCCATTCCCCAACTTTCCACCCCAAATGTTCCACCCAGGCATCTGACACCACAGGATGTATCCTGCTTAAGGTGCGGTGTTGGGAAAGCTCCTGCCCTGAACTCAGGAACTCTAGGGACCCTTCAGCTGTATCTAAAAGAAACCAAACCAGCAAGACTGTGGGTGGGTGGATGAGATGCCCACCCTGTAGACATTTGTACTGTCCAGAGTTGGTAGGATTTTTCTATTTTCATCCCTCTGTTTGGTAGGATATGAACCACCCAAGTCAGGCACTTGGAATAGACAGATAAGACAGGATGACGCCCGGCACGCGGCTCTGCCTGTAGAAGGTGTTGGGGAATGCTCACTGACGGATGGGCTGACATGTGGCGGCCTCCTGGCAGAGGGAGAAGAAAAAGCCTCAGGGCGGGAGAGAGAGGGGCCGTCATGAAAGAAACACCGGCCACCAGTCACTCTGCCTGATGCTCCCTGTTCTCTTTTCCTAGGTCTGGGCCTGGGGGTGCCTCTTTTTTGATCCCCACAGGATCCTTACCTCAAAGAAGATCCTTCCAGAAGGGGTGAGAGTAGAAGGCTGGCCAGCAAGAGTATGGCCAGTTTGGGGGTCCTCTTCAGGCCATGTTGTTAACCCCTCCCCCCATCCCCATCTAATGTTTCAGTTCTCTGTAGAATACCCCCCATCCCCATCTAATGTTTCAGTTCTCTGTAGAATACCCCCCATCCTCATCCAGTGGTCAGGTAACGTGCTCGCCAAGGTGCTCCCAGCCTCCCCAGACCACCCACCGCAGCTTGGGACCTGACTATGAGAAAGCTCTTACTCAACTTTAGCCCAAGTCTGTCCCCCTTGCCCTAGTCCTATCCCCGGGGGCTGGAAACAAGTCCAGGCCTCCCACCCCCACCCCCAGCAGGGCACATTTGAAGGCTGACGTCATGTCTTTTCTGCTCTGGCTATTTCCAGTTCCCCCAGCTGCTCTTCAGATAACTTGTCCCCAGGCCCCTCACGCCCTGGCCACGCTGCCTGGGTGCTGTCCAGCTCAGAGGGAGGGCCCAGTATGTGCAGCAGGGGCAGAGAAAGGTCACTCATTCCAGACATTAGTCCCCCTCTGTGGCCACATTCAGAGCAGGCTGGGGGACAAGCCAGCCCGGGTCCTTCCCACCACCACCCAGCCCAGGAGAAAGATCAGGAACCAGGGAAAGAAGCAGTGGTCTGGCCCCTCTGAGGCTGGGAGGAAGTGACTGACCCACACCTGCCCCCCTGCCCCCGCCCCTGCCCCCCCTCCCCTCCCCCGCCACAGAACAGGGCCAGGCTCAGGACAGCAGGGAGCAGAAAGCACAGGAAAGTAAAAGCTGTACTACCGTCTTCGTCCTCTCTCCAGTCCTCCTCTTCTGGGGGTCAGGGAGTGGCCGCAGCAAAGGGGAGAAGCGAGACAGGTTAGTCTGGGAGCAGAAGGATGGGGACGGGAGCGGCGGGACAGGGCATGGTTTTGAGCGTGAGCTTTGGACTTAAGCTCCAGTTCCAATTCCTGATTCACCACGTCTAGCAACTTGGGCAAGTCCCTTCTCAGCAGCTTCCCAGGTGCCTTGTCAGTAAAATGGAAATAATCATCCTCCCTTCTCCGTCGACGTAAGGATGAAATGATCGGGCACCTGGGTGGCTCAGTTGGTTAAGCGACTGCCTTCGGCTCAGGTCATGATCCTGGAGTCCCGGGATCAAGTCCCGCATCGGGCTCCCTGCTCGGCGGGGGGTCTGCTTCTCCCTCTGACCCCCTTCCCTCTCATGCTCTCTGTCTCTCATTCTCTCTCTCAAATAAATAAATAAAATCTTAAAAAAAAAAAAAAAGAAAAAGAAATGATCTACCATGCATGCAGCACCCAGCTGTTACCTGGCACTTGGGAGTCATTCAGTAAGCGGTAACCGGCCGTTTCCGGCTCTGCTTCCAGACACGGAGACAGAGGCCCCGAAGAGCAGAGTGGGAACAATGCACTGCCATCCAGTTTCTCCCATGTTCCTACCCTGAATGAGCCTCTCTGATATCCCACAGAACATCTCCAGTTTCCAGGAGCCACAGTTGTGAAAGCCCCACTGGAGAGCACGGCACAGGGCAGATGTGCCTGGTCTGGCTGAAGGGAGTAGCCCCGTCAAAGGAAGGCACAGCATTATAACACAGGGAACAGACCAGCACACAGTCAGCAAATACCTGCCCAAAGGAAGCGCTTACAGCAATTGGTACTCTTTCTCTCCTGGAAGAAGAGAGAAGCTGTTGTCCATTCTGTAGGCTCAGTGGCCATCCATTTAGACCTTGCTCCTTCTTGCTCATTTATAGCTGGGGACTTAGCTATGTGGGAGGCAGGTGGAGTCCATTCCTTGCAAGCAAGGCAGATGCTACATGGAGTTCAGTCCACCGTCGCAGCAGAGAATTATTTTGTTAATTCACAGCCAAAGCCTACTGTGCATAGCAGGCAGATTAGTCCCAAATTCAAAGGTCTGTATCTCAAATACCACCCCCTAAAATTCACGAGCCGGCAAGTCCTCCAAAGCAGAGGAAAAGCCACCGTATCGAGAGTATGTGCAGGGAACACAACAAAAAAGTGGAGCCAGCTAGATTTTTGATTCAAAAAATATTTCAGACAGCTTCTGACATATTTGGTGTTCCTTGAAAACCAAGGTGACTCCAGTGACCCCTCTTAGTTTCCCCCGTGAGTTGCTCCGGTGTCTACTCTTTGGCCAGGCACCCTAGAATAGCCTTAAATGTGTGAGAGGCTCCTCGTTTGCCCTAGAAGGCATAAGGAAGAAGGGGGACAGCTACTGAAGCGCTTGGCTCTCTCCCTAGACCTTCAGGGAGCCCCTTCTCCTGATGTCCACACGCTGTGTGCTGAAATGATACTTCTAAGAATTTGCTGAGCCTCTAAGGGGCAGGATGAAACCCGCCTGGGGCACAGAAGCCTGAGGGGACTGAGGGCTATTCTGGGCCACTTGGGGGGCTGGGTGGGGACTGGAGTGAGGCCTCTTAGTCACTTCCATGTGTCAAGCACTCAGGAAGAGAGAAAGGTTAGGGTGTTCTTTCATTGGGCTATGAGGCATAAAGCTAAGGAAAGAATTGTGAGAACAGATCAGAGTAGGAACGGGTCTATGGGTCAAAATGGACTTTCGAAAGATAATGATGTCTTCATGCTTATCTAAAATATTCCAGAGGGGCGCTTGGGTGGCGCAGTTGGTTATTCGTCCAACTCTAGGTTTCAGCTCAGGTCGTGATCTCAGGGATCGAGCCCAGCGTCGGGCTCCATGCTCACTGGGGAATCTGCCTGTCCCTCCCCCTCTACCTCTCCTCCTCCCCACTCGTGCTCTCTCTCTCTCTCTCAAATAAATAAATAAAATCTTTTTAAAAATGTTTCAGATAACTGAACACTTCCATAATCTCATTTGAAAAATTATTAAGCTGAATGTTTTTAGGGGTGATAATGGTGTCATGGTTATGTTTTTCTTTAAATAGTGCTTATCTTTTAGAGATACCTACTGAACTTTAAGCATGAAATGATATGAAGTCTGAGGATGATTTGGGATGTCTGCTCTAAAATAAGTGAGGGGAGATGAAGCATAGATGAAAAAAGATTGGCCATAGTTGATGATTGTTAAAGCCAGATGCTGGGCATTTGGGGAAGCAGGGTGGTGCGTAATTCTATTTTTGCTACTTGTACATGCATTTAAAACTTACCATGGTTGAAAAAAAATTAGAGAAAAAAATCAAAAAAATAATTAATTGGAAAAAGTGGCAATTCTGTGTGAACAAAATGATGGACAGTCGAGACAGGTTTAAACCTTTTGCCTAAGACCTGAGCAACCAAGGCTAGGACTGATTCCCATTTAGGAGCCATGGATCTTGGCTCAGCTGGGAGTGAGGGGCAGTGACAGGATACTGGATTCCCGGGATCTCTCTTTTCTGGCCCTCCCTCTGCCCGAGCTCCGTACCTTCCACAGCTTCTTCTGCTCAGGAGAGAAGACCACGGCCGCAAGAAAGGAGACAAGAGGTGGGTCAGTTTCCAACCAGGCTGCCCTTCATCCGAATGAGTACATAAGCGTGTGCTTACCTTCCTGTTCCCTGCCATGGAAAAGATAGTGTCACCCCACACGCACCCCACACGCACACACTCGTCTTTCCCCAAAGGTAAGTCCATTCCTTATTTCCCTCATTGCCTCATGGAGCTCACCCTCCTAGGCCCACCTACAAAGGCACCCCCGAACGGGCCCAGTCTTCTCATCCAGGGCCTCCTGCCACGGTCCCCAGCAAACCTCTGCTTGGTCTCTCCAGCATCTGCCCGCTTAACAGCTCTCTCCCTGCACTGAGCTTTGCCAGACTGTACCCTAGAACCCTGCCCTCACCCTTCTCTCCCTATCCAAATCCGACACAGGTAAGCCTGACTACCCCAGCCCCCACTGCTCTCCCCCTCCTTAGAGCTCCTGCCCTACCCACAGCCCACCCTCCAAGCCCGGCCCCTCTTGGCTGATTACTTCCAACATCTGACATCTTAACATCCCATAGGAGAGCAAATTCCATGAGGGTAGGAGCTTTGTATCCTGATATCCTGATACCTCTGCATCCTTCCTGGTGAGCATCACCCTCCAGGAGATCATTGTTAGATTGGCTGCCAGTGTCCCACCCCAGGGTGTCCCCAAGAAGGGTGGTGGACAGGGCACTTCGGGAGGAATATGGTTCCAAGATGAAGTGCTAACAGTGAGCTCTGATTTGGATTTTATGGGGCATGATCAGCTCTGTGGCTTCAGGATAGCCACTGAACGTCTCGGATATGTTTTCAGGAGACACACCTTCTAAGCTCTTCTGCCTCCTAGTCTCGTAGCCAGGTAGGACCCCAGCTGACCCTGGGAGCTGAGCTTTCTTTATTTCCAAAAGTCTCCCAGCCTGTGGCCAGCCCAGGATCCGCAGCTCAGAGGCCAGATCCCCGGAACAGGCACAGCTGCTCCCCTCCCCATCCCAGCTGGTTCCTGGGCCAGGTGTGAAGGGCGGGGTGGGGAGAGGGCCAGCACCCCAGACAGGATGCTCCAGATAGATACTCACTCCTCGTACTCTTCCGCCACCTCTTCTATGTCCGACATGGTCCCTGCTCTCCCTCCAGAAAGAGAAAAATGTCAATATGCGCAGAAGGGGAAGCCCGTCCTCCTCAGCCCCAGGCTGCCACCCCGAGAGGCCCTGGGGTGGCGGGGGCTGGTGAAGCTAGCCCTGCAGTGAGGTGACCTGCAGTGAGGAGCCTGCTTCCTCCTCTGTCGGCGGGGACAGTAACCCCCACATCACCGCAAGGGCAACCAGCCGATGCCCATTTCACTCCTTGCCCCTCAACAGGCAAACCTTTTGGAATGTCCCTGTTCTGGTGCAAATCATTGTAACTCTCAGAACAATGTATCTATAGTTTCTCAACCTTTCCAGCCCACAACCTCTGCTCGTCACCGCACAAAGTTCCCCTGGGAGGTTGGTTCAACCGTCTGTGGCACATCCGTAGCGTGGACTACGTCTCGGCAATGAAAAGGAATAAACCGGTGATACTCGAGACACCTTGGGCGAATCTCCAGGGAATTACCCTCACGGAGGAGGAAAAGGCCAATTCACGTGATTTCACTTATGTAACATTCTTGACATGGCAAAATTATAGAAATGGAGACTAGACTGGTGCTTGTCGAGGGCTGTGTGTGGGGTGGAAGAAGGCGAGGGGAGGTGGGCATGGTGATGAAAGGCACACAGGAGGGGCGCCTGGCTGGCTCAGTCCGTGGAGCGGGCCACTCTTGATCTTCCGATGTTGAGCTCAAGCCCCACCTTGGGTGTAGAGAATACTTAACAATTTTTAAAAAGGCACATAGGACTTTTGTGGTTTTAGAACGGTCTCGTGTCTTGAGTGTGGTGATGAACACATGAGCCTACACAGGTTAAAACCATAGAGAATTTCACACACACTCGGTCTAAGTAGAGCTGGGGAAGTCTACATCAGGCTATGGTTTGTAGCGAAGTCCATGTCCTAGTTTCGATCCATACCACAGATGTGCACATGTACCGTTGGGGGGACTGGGCAAAGTGTACATGGGACCCGTATCATCTCGGGATTTCACATTAAACTACCGCTGATCAATACAAATTCCAATTAAAGAATGTTTGCCCAGGGAACTCAATTTGAGATACTCCCTTAATTGGGATAGGAAAGGACAATTCGAATCCTCTTCCATCAGGTTGCTGAGTGTGTTTGGGCAAGTCTTTGTTTAACACCTCTGAACCACGGAGATACAACATACACATCCTGGCTACTCAGGGGTCTTTATGAGGAGTAAGTGGACATTAAGGAAAGTGGAAAGCACGAGGCAATGTCAGGTTTTATTGTATTTCCATGCAATTACAGGGAGAGGCGAGACAAACCCGGATGTGAATCCTTGCTCCATCTCACATTTGCCTGTGACCTTGGAAAGGTCACGTAACCTCCTTCCCCCTCAGTCCCCTCTTCCGTGAAAGGGCTCCTCCTCTGGGGAGGCTGTGGGGCTCAGAGCTAATAAAGTACCTGGCCCAGAGCAGACCCCTGATGAATACCCATTATAACCCAACCCTCCTGGGCCACAGCAACGTGCCGCCCAGGGACGCCGCTCACACTGGCTGAGAGCTGAACGACGCCCCCCAGAGCTGGGCAGCATGAAAGCTGTCCTCTGCCCCAGCGAGGAGAAGGGTAAGGTGGTGTGAGGGCGGCCGCCTCAGTGAGGCTTCTCGTGAGCCACCAACTTCTGACCCAAGCCACAGGGACGGGGCCACAGAGCACCGCTTACCACCCTCTCCACCTCTCCCTGCACATCCTCCTGGAGTGGCGCCCCAGGCACCCACCTGCGGACACCCAGGGACAGTCCCTGCTCTGGCGGGGTGGGGTGATGTCTGCTGCCAGGCAGCCGCTTTCAGGTTGAGGAACTCCGAAGGAGCCTCTGCTCATGACTGCCCCTCCGCGTGGAGAACTCCCCCAGACCCAGTGTCCATGGCAGCCTCGAGCTGGCCGCTCATCTGAACCTGCTCCAGAGATGTCCGGTCCTGCTGGGCTCAGGACGAGCGCGCCTGTAGCCAGGCAGGGCCCTCCCCAGCTCTCTCTGCAGGAGTAGGGTGGGGGCAGGGAGGGAGGGTTTACACAGAGCTTTGGACAGAAACTCTGAGCCACGGTTTGGCTCCCCTGGGATGGGGGTGGGCGAGAAGAGATGGCCGGCATGAATGGTGTCATGCAGGAGGATGGACCCTCACTGTGCTGAAGAAAGACCCAAACTCCAGAGCATCTCCAAACGGGTCTTCGGATGAGAGTGGCCAAAGAGAATAGCCCCCTAACCCCAGATATGCTCTGCCCCAAGCCCCAGGGCAGTAGCCAGGACTAGCACCCTGGGAGGAGTCTGTCACCTCAGGCAGGACAGAGAAGTTTCTCAGGGGAGCTATGCATGCCAGCATGGGGCATGTGGCCTCTAGCTTTCTCTCCTCTCCTGCCCTGCCCTCCCACCAGCTCAGAGCCACCAGCCATGGCTCGGGGGCTCAGAGGAAGAAAGAGCAGCTTGGAGCCTTCTCCCTGCTCCCGGGAGCACCATCCAACTCCTAAAAATAGCAAGGATGGAGAGCAGGGAAGGGCTTGAATTCACCCAAGAGGACGCTGCCAAGCCAATGGCCCAAAGGCAAGACATGAAGTGGCAGGGGATGGGCTGAGGTTACAGCTTTGGAATGAGATCCAGTCAGGACCCTGTCAAGGCGAGGAATGAGAATGTGCAAAGCAGCTGTGTCTTCACACCCAGACCCTCACCTGCTTCCACAGACTGCTTTCTAGCCAAATTCCCTCACAGCCAAGAGATCAGGGTCACCTTCCTGGGGGAGTATGTCAAAAACAATACAAGGCACAAAGAACAATGGCCATAAGGTCAAAAGATCTGGATGTAGGGGTGCCTGGCTGACTCAGTCCATAGACCCGGAGACTCCTGATGTTGGGGTTGTGAGTTCAAGCCCCACATTCGGCATAGAGATTACTTTAAAAAAAAAAAAAAAAAGATCTGGGTTTAAAACCCAGTTTTTGCTGTGTGACCTTAGCTAAGTCACTTAATCTCTCTAGGCTTCTATTAGCTTATCTATAAAATAGATGAGCTTCAAGTTCCCGTCTTGCAGAAACAAGTCTCTGAGTCTCTGAGGAATGTAGGCCCCATCCCTCAGCCCTTGTCCCCAGCATCCAGCTGGACTCCTCCCAAGCCTGCAGCTGTCAGCCCACCAGGAGAGCTAGGGGACAAGGTTGAGGGGGGCCAGTGGGTAACCCAAGCCGCTCAGAGGACCTGCCCTGTGAGACTGGGGTCAGAGGAGGAATTCTGGAGGTCAGGTGGCTTCCCAACTGCACAGGGCCCGGAATGTGCTTTGAAATTCCTTGCACTCCAGGCAATCACTTCCGTAGATATTTGCTCCGCCTGCCCAGGAGAAGCTGAAAATCAAGGGAATATGACCTTCTCTGCCACTCCCAGACCCAGAGCAAGGTCTGTCCCTCCAGGGCATGTCGGGATGAGGTGGGGCAAGGGTCACATTCGCAGAGACCCTGGGGGCAGGGGGCAGCTAGACTCTGACCCCTGGAGCTGGGCTCACAGCCCACAAGAGGACCTTGCGGTGGGGTCTCTCCCCCCTCAGTCCCCCAAATGCTGCTTGGCAGTGCTTTCTCTCTGCAGAGGGGGGTGGTGCTGGCTCTGGAAGTCAGAAAACGTCTCCTGTCTGCTTGCAGAGCTGCTCCAGAGGTCCCTGCCTGCCCTGCAAGTGTGCTCTTTCTCAACGCTTCCAAGACAGTTACTGACTTGCTGGAGATGAGAATTTGACCACCAGGCCCTCTTTGTGACTGATACGACCGCAGTCTTGCTCTGCTCTGAATCCAGAAGGACCTGCCTGGAAAGGTTCAGGGGGCCCTAGGCCTGGAGGTGAGGGTCGGGGCCGAGCAATCTGGGGGAGGCCCCGTTGCTTAGAGCTTCATTGTCTTTTGAGCAGGCAGAGGCCTAGTGATTATCTCGTCCATTCTACAGATGAGGAAATTGAGGCCCAGGGAGGGAAAGGTAGTCACCCAAGACTTTCCAGCTACACAGTATCTTTAGTGGCAGGTCTGGGACTCAGATCCAAGGCTCTGACTGCTAACAGAGGGTCACTGCTGCCCTACGGCGCTAGTCTCGGAGTCCCATCCCTGCGACACCTCCTCTAAAGCGTGGCCTCTTCTCGGAGGGAACGTGGACCACCAGCAACTCTGACATCCCCACAGTGTGGACGCAGGCAGACTCTGGGAAAGGTGCCAGGCTGCAAGACATCTTCCCTCTCCTCTCTGCTCTCCCCATCTCGAGCCGTGCCCAAGTCTTACCTCAAACCAGGAGCTGCCGACAGATCCCGAGGTATCTGCTCAGCCTCAGCGGGGACTGGGTGAGGGCAGGGGATGGAGAGGGCTTTAAGCAGGCCTGTGGGCTGGGGCCCCGTAAGCCAAGCCCTGCGGTGGGAGGGATGTGCAGCCGGAGACGCGGCGGGGGCGCGGGGGGTGCTGGGTGCTATTTTGGCAGGTGCCGGGGACAGGGCTAAAGGGACATGCAGCCCACGCCATATAAGCCCATGTGGTTGTCCAGCTGCTCAGATAAGCTATTTAAAACCAGAGCAGATACGCAGGCAAGAGAGGAGGGAGCAGGCATGGAACAGAAACCAGCTATCCCTCTTAAGAATCCTGATAAAGCAGATGCCAGAGGCCCAGGCCTGGGAAGGCAGGCTGGGAGCAGGGCTGGGGGGCAGAGGGCAACCTCCGAGACACTTCATGAGTCTCTGGGCCAGGGGGGTCTGGTGGGCAGAGGGAAGGGCTTATCTGCAGCTACACAGAAAATGATGCTGTGGGGAAAGATGTCTTCCAGGCTACTGGCTGTTTCTACTGGGCTGAGGGGCCTTGCAGGCAGGCTCAGCAGGCCTCAGTGAGGACATCTGCAAAGTGGGTCTGCTCCAGGCCCCCCTAGAGCCATGTGACAAGCCCTCCTCACCGGGAAGGAACTAAAACTGCTCCAGGGGGTCAGATACAAGGTAGAACTTCCAATCAGGAATGATGGTTCTCCTTGGACAGGCAGCTGGGTTGTTTGAGGGGGCCATGAGGACCGCTGAAGTGCATCCCCCTAAGGCTTGAAGATGAAGGAATACGGGACCACGATCTGCTAAACCTACTAGACTGTAAGATCCGTAGGCCAGGATCCAGGGGTTTTGTGGTTGGCTTGCATGTCCTCAGCCCCTAGCACAGTGCCCAAGACATCCTGGGGCTCAATACAGGATGGAAATCGGGGGCGGAAAGCAAGTCCGAGCTGACTGCCCTCCTCAATGTCTCTGAGTCTCCAAGGCCTCTCCCCTACCTCTGAAGAAGGAACATCCCTCCTCTGGGCCAGGCCCACTCCTCCCGTGTGCCCCTGAACTCTGAAACCCCCGGCCCTTCCAGATCTTGCCCATCAGTGATGCACATTCTTATCTATTTCTCCGTGGGTGAAGAAAGCCAGTCTCCCCCTTTCCTGGCCTCCTCCCCCCACCTGACCATGTATCCAAGCCTCCCAGTCCTGGGCTCTCTTCTCAGTCCTGCTGTCTTGGGAGCTACTCTGCTGTGCCCACCGCCACCGTTCTTGAGAGAATGTGGGATTTCCACTTGCGGCTCCCTGACTCCGCTATCATACTCTTGCCCCATCAACTCAGCTGAAACTGTCCCCTCCAGGGTCCCCAGTGGCCTCGGAGCCCAGTGGTCTGATGGCCCACCTTTAGGCTTATCCCGCCATGAGCCCCTCTAGGCGGCCAGCAGAGCTGTGGCAGGGCGAGCCGAGGCCACGGGCCTGCCAGACAGCATCCTGGGGGAGCAGGGGGCATGGGCCAGCAGAAAGGAGGCGGGGGGGGGGCAGGTGGGGGGAGCAAGCTGACAGAGGAACAGGGAACAACCAGGCTGTCCCTGAGAGATGGAAGAAAAGCATTATGGTCCTTCTATCTAGCCCACCGGGGCCCAGCCTTGCTTTGTGTCCTGGCCTGGAATCTCCTGGAATCTAGGGATTGCTTGTCTTAGGCCTTCCCTTCACTTGAGCCACTTTCAGTGGGTAACTGTTCCTCATAAGCCCAACAGTCCTTCAAACAGGCCATAATTTGTTTGCGCAGATGCCTGGGAGAGGCACCTGAGCACCTAAATCACCAAAGCCTCCCCGAAAAAATCCAGTAGGTTCTTGGCGCTCATGGACCATGTGAGGCTTTTACTAACTGTTCTAAAGCAGGGATTTAATTCAGAGAAGCGGGGGGGACAGGCAGGCAGTGAGAAAATCCAGCCGCTTTCCAGCAGCCACACCTTGACACGGCAGGGCTGCTCCCAGCCTGTCATGGGTGCCCTGTCCTTACACTACATGAGTTCCCTCCTAGAGCTAATGGTGGAAGGGAAGAGAAAACAAAGAGATGGTGCTTACCCAGAGTTTTACTGGAGGAAGCATACACCGGAACACTGCTTGCAACTTTAAGGACCCACAAAAGAGCAGGGCATGTGTGGGGTCCCAAGGACACTAGGGCAGGAGAGTAGACTGGGCAAGGAGTGGTAGGTATATGGATAGGGAGACCTCTCTCTCCAGAGGGTGCTCAATGTCACCTCCCCCAAGAGTCCTCCCCTGCCCGCTTAGCCATCCAGTCACCAGCATGCTGCACTCTGTCCTCACACCTGTCCCCAGCTGAAATCATCTTGTGCATATAATTGTCTCCTTGTCGCGTGGCTGTCCCCTGCCAGGAATGAGATCAGGGCCTCTTTGTGGGGGAAGGGAAGAAGGGAGGCATGAATGCAAAGGGCAGGGAGTCACGGGGTCATGTCTCCCAACACTCTACCCTGCGGCCTGTCCTTGATGGTCACCCCAGGGAGGATGTGCAGGCATGAAGCGTTTCAACACCCTGAGGAAGTAGCCACCACGATCCCCCAGACACCCCGGCCCAAGCCAGTCCCCTCCGCCCCCACCCAGGCCTCCACTCTGGAGGAGGGTTTCTGGGAGTCTCTCCCAAGAAAAGCCTATGTGAGGACAGTCCTGCCTGCAAAACAAATTCACCTGCCAAGAGACTTCCCAAACTTGGGAACATGAGCATCCAAAAATCCTAGGTCCTTGTTTGAACCTTGAGTCCAGCAGGTCCTTTGAGTCTCTGGGCAACGCTGGTTTTGTCCTCAAATTCTGGAGGTGGAGCTCTTGCAAAAGCTCCAGCCCTTGGGGGAATTAGTGGGGTACAGGGCGGGACCTCCAGGTCCCACTATCCCCAGCTCAGTGCAGGCTCGGGACCAGCCACCAGCTGCAGATGGGCCAGCCTGGGGTCACTGGGAGGTCTGCACAGATGGGGCCCTGAGTGCCTTCTGTCCCCTGGACCAAAGGACCCAAGACAGGAGCCCTCACTCCTAGTCACAGACGCTGGGACAAGGCTGGTAGTCCCTGGCTGGTGTGTCAGCGCCCACAAGCTTGGGGAACTAAGGCCTCGTGATGCCCTTAAGGGCTGTGTTCTGAGAAACCCTGGGGTTTTCCAGGTATGCCTGGGGACAAGGGACAAAGTGGAAGTGGGGAGGGCTCTGCACTTCTCCTTCCCTCCCTCCCCAGCTGGTTCTGGGTAAAACCAGAGCAGTCAGGAAGAAGAGTTCTAATCAAATTTAAATGGGGGAAAAAAAATAGGTGTGTGTGTGTGTATAATATACGTGTAGATGTGTGTGTAATATAGAGTATATAAATATGTGATATAAATGTATATCCATATATGTATAATACACACGTGTGTACACACACATACATACACTTTTTTTTAAATTACAGCATTAAGGGGTTCAACAGAGCACCAGACTGAGTTCGGTCTGCCCTAGATGCTCAGAAAGCTCAGCCTTCTCCAAGCTCACACGGGCCATGACACTGGGGGCGGGGAGACCGCGCTGGGGAAGCGTGGCAGAGCCGTGGCATTGTAGTCCCGGCCCCCCCGCCAAGCCACTAGGCTAGGACCAGGTGGCCGCCCACCCCAACGTGAGGAAAAGAGGGGCTGCAGGGAAAACGACCCCTGACCCCCCCATCCAGTCACAACAAGCCTCCTCACACTCTGCAGACGACCCCACTCAAAAGCAAGTCCTCCGGGAAGGAATCCATTCTTAAGGTCTTATTAGTCACACCTGAGAGTGAATGAGTTTATCAGCTCTTTCCTGAGAACAGCTTTTTCAGAAAGAGGGTGAAGGGGTGCACAAAACGGCACCAAGCTGCTGGCCGAGCAGCAGGCCAAGGAAACGAGAGGCAAAGGAAGCAGGGAGACGGGGCGCACGGAAGACACAGGGCAGCGCCTGGCCAATCTAGCCTGACGGGCCTCAGCAAGCTGGAGGCAGGCCGCAGGGACTGAGGGGGGTGACTCCAGGCCTCAGTGAGGGACCGACATCACAGGCACGTGGAGGCACACTCCGGGGGGACAGCACCGCCCCGCCCCTGGACATGAGCAGGGCCTGGAGGCCACCTCCGGACAGGACGTGGAGGCCACACGGTGCTGACGAGAGTCGGTGCTGTGCCCGGGCGGACACCGGGTCCAGGGATCTGCTGCGCCTGCAGTGGGACGAGAAGGGGCCGGGGCACACCCGCCACCAGACGCTAGACTGGGAAGGAGGTGGCTGAGGCTCCCCGACACTCGTGGCGCCAGGTCCAGAGGCAGAGAGGGAGCAGGGGTGAGAGACAGGGATGCTGCTGGTGGCGGGGCCTGGCCTGAGGGAGGGCCCCTGAGATGCAGACTCACAGGTCCATCCTGGCAGGGCTCGTCACACCTGTGGGGCAGAGGTCTGTCAGGAAAGACAAGGAGGCTCCTAGGGCTGAGAGGGAAGGGGGTCTGTGGACAGGAAGGCATCCCTTGGCCCGAGGCCCACACCCACAGTGGTCAGAAGCCCCGAACCTGCTTGTTGAAGAAGGGGCTTTGCAGAGCTGCGGGCACAGAGAAACCAGATCAGGGATCCGACCAGTGTTCTCGAGGTTGGGTCAAACCAGCCTGAGAGCAGAACCCTGACATTCCGGCTACTGGGACTATGCAGTTGGAGGGGTGGGGGCGGGGGCGGGGACGGGATCTCCCCAGGGCCAGCCCCTCTCCGCCCCTCACCTCTACATCCAGGGAGGAGACTTTGTTTCCCCACTGGGTCCTCTTGGTGGCTCCTGACTCTTTCCGCACCTCCTGGTTGGAGACGTGAGGGGTTAGGGCAGAGTAAAGCACACTGCATAGGGGGCTTGGGATTCCCCAGGCCCCTCCCCTTCCTGAGAGGGAAGACCCCAGACCCATTCCTCCTCTCTTCTGCCTCCTGGTGACAGACTTAGGCCTCCCTACTCCGCATGGAGACCGCTCCGGGCACATCTCCATTTCCCTCAGGGCTGCCCCCTCTCTGACCCAGGTCATTCCACCATGAAAGGCCCATAGCACGAGATCTCAGGGAGGGACAACGTGCCTGCGGGTCCTGATCTCCAGACTCCTGGGTCCTGCTGATCCACAGGTTGAGCTTTGATGTCACAACCCCTGAAAGCCTCAAGTTATCCTGAAAAGAAAGGCTTGCATCTCAGGGCTTGGAGCTGCTGGTAACAGCATGGTGTCTTCAGAAAGGGCCCTGGCACAAGGATCCGATTCTACCTTGCTCCCATATCCACTCAGCACGTGCCACATATACCCGGGAAGGCCCCCAACCCACCCCCACCCCCCAAGGGAGTGCTGTGCGCAGCTAAGGAGATGGGCTCGTGCGTGGCAACTCGAGTCAACGGCAGGTTCTGCCAAAATGGACACATGAAAACACCCGGTTCTACGTTTGGAGGCCTCAGGCCTAATCAGCCTAAACACCCAGCTGGGCCTGAGCCCCTCACCTTCCGGCTGGAGGCCGGTTCTGCTCGGCTCTGGCCTACCAGCTCCTTCTCAAAGAGGTGGCGCTTGCTGGCTACGCCCACGGGAGCCACAAAGAACTCGGTGCGGGAGGAGCCGGGAGACTTGACTGATTCTGATCTCTGGAATCAGAGAACACAGATGGCTGACCCACGGAGGTGAGGCGCCCAGGCCACACCCACCAAGCCGGTCGGGTACGGAGGCCCCTCCGCAGGAGCCCTGCCCACCTGGACAGCCGAGTGGTATCTCTCCAGCTTCTCCCCTAACTTGACTGTGCCAGCCGGGAGCCGCATGCTGGCGCTGCAGGACAAACCAGGACAGGCCAGGACAAACCAGGTGAGACCTCTGCCCTCAGCCCTCCCAGAGCCTGGGTAGTGCCCACCCACCCTCTGGACAAAGAGAAGACGGCCTCCCTCACTGAACGAGACTCTAATGACTTGGCCAAGGTGAAAATCGACTGCAGAAGTCCAAGGACCTTCCTCACCTCCCTAGAAACATCCCACTCAGCAGGACACCCCCGGGATCAGAAGTATCTGCCATCCCTCCCCCGTCTTGTCACTTCCACCTCACACCTCACACGTCTCCTGAATCTCCCCCGCCCCCACCTGCCCCACCACCGCAGTCACCTTCCTTCTGCTCCCTCGGCCTGCCACCCCAAGCTCTCCCCCTCCTGCCGCCACCGCTCCCACCCCAAACGAAGCCCACCCTGTCCTTCCTTCCAGCTCAAGCCTCTCAGGCCACGGGGCAGGGACCAAACTCCCTGGTAGAGCACACAAGGCTCTGGTGGTCTGGGCCCTGCCTCCCCTCCTAACACCAGTGTCCCCCCGATGCCCCAACCCCTTTCTCCACATGCTTATGTGCCAGTTAACCAGACACCTCACGCTTTTCACCCTCTGTGCCTTTACTTGTGCTGGGCCCTCTCTTTCCAGTCCCACCCGGAAGTCAATTGCTCTGTGACATGTCCTTGGGCTCCCGTAGGCTGGGCTGTTGCCGCATGGTCTCCCACGTTCCTGCCACGTTCCTGTCCCTGCACCTCCCTGCTGAGGGGCTCTTGCATGTTTACTGGCCCAGTGGGAGATGCTGGAGAGTAGCAGCCATGTCTCATTCATCTGTGGGCCCCCTGCCGCCACCGTCACCCCAGGCCTAGCCCAGGACAGTCGGCCTCCGCAAATGTGTAGGGGCAGACGGACACAGCACGAGTGCATGGAATTCCTAATACATAAGCACAACTGCTTTTCAGACCGCATTTCAGTTTTGTTTCTTCAAAACACAGTCCTGGGGCGCCTGGGTGGCTCAGTCGTTAAGCGTCTGCCTTCGGCTCAGGTCATGATCCCAGAGTCCTGGGATCGAGCCCCAAGACGGGCTCCCTGCTCAGCGGGAAGCCTACCTCTCCCTCTCCCACTCCCCCTGCTTGTGTTCCTTCTCTCGCTGTGTCTCTTGTCAAGTAGATAAATAAAATCTTAAAAAAAAAAACAAAACCACAGTCCTTAAACTACTTGCATCAAAATTATGGGGCACGGGGATGCTCATGGAACATGTGGATGCCCAGGCCCCCCAGCATCAGGCCTGCTAAAGCAGAGCCTTCCCCTTCCCTGTACTCTTCATAGGCCCCCTCCTAAGAGGCCCTCCTCCTCCTCTCCACCCCAACTTCTTCTACCTTCAGAGCCCCACCCAAGCCCTGCCTCCTCCAGGAAGCTCTCCCTGATCCCTTCCCTCCCTGTTCCATCTCCTTGGGCCTCCGACCCTTGTGTCGGTCCAGTGTCCCTGCAGGACCTGGAGCCCTGGCTGAGGATGGCACCTTCCCCTCAGGTGCCCTGTGGCCCTGCCTGGGAGTACACACGGCAGGCACTCAACACGCATAGGCTGAACGTGACCAGATCAGACAAAGCCAGAGCCTCCAGGCCCCTGACCTGCGGGTTAAGGTTGTTTCTGAGCTGTCTTTCCTGGGGCTCATCTGAAACAAGAAGGAAAGGCTCTGATGAGTGAGAGTCCCAAGGAGGCCAGGGCCTTCCACAAGAGAAGGGCTCACCTCTCTGAATATTCCTCCTCCTCCTCCAACCCCCAACCAAACCTCCATTAAAGGCCTTCCTCTTGTCTGGGAGACACCTGCCCCCACCCACCAGGCTGGGTCAAAAGCCCCTCCTGTGCCCCACCCCCCACCTCAACCATCTATTTTCCTGTCTGCCTTCCTACTGCCCATTAGCCCTGCCAGGCAGGGACCAGCCCCGATCAACACCAGGCCTCCAGCTTCCTCCCCAGGGCCTGGCACACATCAGAGGTACAAAGCACAGTCAGTGAAAAATGAATGAACCACCCAGCGAACCAAGGAAGTGAGAGTAAATACCAGAAGGTGAGATGAGTCTCCAGTCCACACAACTTGTACTACTGGAGCAGAGGCAGAGCACGGAGCTCTAGGAGAGCCCCACTGCTCTCAGCCCCTACCCTTTCCCCCTGTGCCAGCCTCCCGGGTGAGATCAGGAACTGATGAAGGCAGGTGTGGGGCCCCTGCCACTGAATCTGCCCGGTGCCCTCTTCCTGCAGCTCCAGCCTTGCCCACTAGGTGGGGCTGCTCACTCTCATCCACATCCACCCACTGGGTCATTAACCTGCTCTCCTTCAGTTAATCCAAGTCATCTGCTCTTGGCCACCCACGGGAATCCAAAACCCCTCTCCAGCCAAAGGATCCACTTGATATCTAACCTAAGGCCTCATGCTGTAATAAATGCTGATTTCCCCGGCTTGCCCTCCAGTGGACTGGAGACAAAAGGTGCCCTGGGCTCTCACCCGAAAGGAGATGGTCCTGGAGCTGGAGCGTTTGAGGGAGCTGCTGTAGGTGGCCTGGGTGGGCGAGGGTGTGTCCACCTCTTCCTCCTTGCTGGGAATTTTCACCTGGATGGAGTGGGGGAGTGTCACACAGGAGGTCTGGGTAGCCTAAAGCCCAAGCCTCCATGGGGACCCCATGTGGCCTGGCTCATCCCAGGAGCTGCAGGAGGAAGGGAGGGGGGGGGGGGGGAGAAAACAGTCCTATGCCTTCCTCTGGGGCCTCCCGCCTCTCTGCCTCTGCTGTGGGGATGGTGGACACAGTTCTGTGGGGCTGGGCCACCAGACAGAGCTTTCCAGCAGAACTTCTGGAAGGACCTGTGGCTTCCCAAAAGTCTGCTGGTGTCCTGAAATCCAGGCCCTGGATGAGGATGGGGTGCAGGGTGGTGGTGCTCTCTGTCACACAGCTGATGCCCTTTTCAGCTGGCCCCTGCTTTAGTGTCTGTTCTGACAGAGACTAGAAGCAGGTAGGGGGAGAGGAAACGGCCCAAGCCAGCCTCACGGTGAGAGGACAGGAAACAGCGAGGGAGCCAGAGACCACCTGGGGCAGGACGAAAGGGGCACGGGCAGGACGAAAGGGGCACGTGCAGGGCTGGGAGGGGCAGGGGCACTGCCGACCTGGAATGTGACGGGCGGGAGGCGGGAAGCCACAGTCGGAGGGTCTGGCGCCCCCTGCTCTCCCAGCTTGGCCGAGGATGGTGGGCTTTTCTCGGGGAGGGCCCTTCCCCTTTGCCCTGTGGTGGGAGGGGGCTGGCTTCCCCCCGAGGCCAGCTGTCCCCCTGCCTGGGGCTGCCCTGAGGCAGCTGCTCTCTTTGGGGCCAGCTTTGTCTCGGTGGCCTGGGTCTTCTCTGACACCAGAGACTTCGCAAAGAGCGATGCTTTCTCAGAAACTACTCTCCTTTCCGTGTCTGAAGTCTTCCCTGGGGCTGGCAGCTTCTCCGACACACTTGTTTTTTCTAGAATTGACTTCTTCTCTGACACAGATGTTTTCTCAGGGCCCAGAGCCTTCTCCAAGATGGAGGTTTCCTTCGAGACCAGTCTCCTTCCAAGTACTAATGTCTTCCCCAGGACGGGGGGCTTCTCCAAGACTGCCGACTTCTCTGAGACCTCCTTCTTTCCACCTTCGGACTCTCGACCCTCCAAGCTCTCTTCCTCCCCGGCCCAGGGGCCCCGCCGCTCCCGGCTCAGTCTCCGGCGAGGTGGCGGCTCCCCGTCCTTCTTGGGCACAAGGGGCTGCTGCTTGGCCTGCCCTGGGCCAGAGCTGTCCCTTGGCTCCTGTGCCCCCGGCGGGCTGGGGGCCTGCGCAGCCTCCACCACCTGCCGCCTCTGCCTCCACTCCTGCCGGGTCCTGAGCATGGCCTGGGTGTCCTCCTCCTCATCTTTAGAGGCTGAGGTTCGTGGCTTGGGCACCTCTCCTTCCTCCACGCTCGGCAGTCTAGGCCAGAAGATGGGAGATGGGGTGGGAGATAAGAATGAGAGGCTATCAGAGGTGGGAGAGACCCTGGGGTGACCTGACCCAGTAGAGAAGCTTCCAGGGCTGCTAGGGAGGGGGTGAGGAAGTAGAGCCCTGGCCTCCCCCACCCCCCAACTATCACTTAAATAAGGATCGCTTTTACCTGCTTTACATATTGGGTTTCCAGGAAATCATCTGAACAAAGCACTCCGTGCTTTTAAAAAGTTGATAAACCTCTACCAGGACCAACTATCCCGTGTTCAGACCCAATCAACAAACACTGAACGGCTACCTTACAGGTGCCCGGCCCCGTGCTGGGCGTTGGAGGTCAAAAGGAATAAATGCAGTCTTCGCCCCTTAGAGCTTAGATCAAGACCAGAGACATTCAGGGATGTGTCAAAGGTCACCCAGATAATGTGCGGTGGAACTGGGAGTAGAACCCAGAGCTTCCCACAGGCCACCCTGCACTCCTGTTAGTCACGTGGCAGCCACGGCCCTGGCGTGGCCCGGGGCACACACAGAGTTGTCCCTTCACCCGGGGGGCCCAAGGGAACAAGAGTAACATGAGGAGACTGTCCAAAACCTGCAGCACTTGGCCTCCAGCCAAAGGAGATTCCTTTTCTCCCTCACCCCCTTGCCCTCTGTGTGCTTTGGGGCAAGTTAATTCACTGTCTGCGCCTCAGCTTCCCAATCTGCAAACAGAGTTTATTTGGGTGAAATGAGACTCCTTCCCTGTGAGTGCCCACCACTGTCCTGGCACACGGGGGACTTGCTTTCCCTCATAGCCCTAAAATCTAGGCAGCAAGAGTAGCCCCTGTGTCCCTCCCCTCAGGAGCGAATCATGGAGTCAGGGAGGCAGGGAGGCAGCGTGGGCTGTGGAAAGGGTTAAGCCAGACACTGAGAGATCTGGACGAGAAGTCTGGCCCTGCCACTCCCTGGGTAAGCGATCTCAGCAAGTCGCCCGTATTCTGCTTCCGAAGAGGTAAGGGGGCTGAAGTGTGGACGAGAGTCTAGGGAGGGTGAGGAGCTGGAAGCTTATCTTCAGACCTTCATCACATTGGCTAGGCAGGCCAAACCTGTCGCACGCCGTCTGTCTGGGGCTGCTAAATCCATCCCAGTCACCTGGGATAGGGAAATGGTGCCTCGTCCCCCCACCCTGACCCGGGCACCTCTGGGCAGCCGGTGCGTCTCCATTCTGGGCGAGCTTGGGAGCCTCGTCGTCTGTGGTGGAGCTCAGATTTCGGTGCCGCCGCCGGCGCTCACGTTCCTGCTCCTCCTCATCCTCTAGAGTCCACTGCCTGGTCAGGCTGCAGGGGGGACAGGGGAGAGGGTCAGTGAAGGCTGCGGGGGGATGATGGGGGAGAGGGTCAGTGCAGGCTGCGGGGGGGGGGGATGGGGAAGAGGGTCAGTGCAGGCTGCAGGAGGGAGGGGGAATGGGGGAGGGTCAGTGCAGGCTGCGGGGGGGGGGAGAGGGTCAGTGCAGGCTGCGGGGGGGGGGACGGGGGAGAGGGTCAGTGCAGGCTGCAGGGGGGGGGATGGGGGAGAGGGTCAGTGCAGGCTGCGGGGGGGAATGGTGGAGAGGGTCAGTGAGTGCAGGCTGCGGCGGGGGGGTGACGGGGAGAGGGTCAGTGCAGGCGGCGGGGGGGGGTGACGGGGAGAGGGTCAGTGCAGGCGGCGGGGGGGTGACGGGGAGAGGGTCAGTGCAGGCTGCGGGGGGGGGGGGCTAACGGGGGAGAGGCTCAGTGCAGACCAGGCCATATCCCTGGATCCCTGCATCCCCATCCCCCAGAGCCAAACCCCTGCGGGGCTGGGGGAAAAGAGCAAACACCCTCTAGGCCTGGGCTGTGTGCAAGAGAACCGTACTGGAACCAGGGCTGGGCTGAATTGGGATGTGCTGTAAGATACACATGCCCCAAGACCTGATATGAAAAACAGACTGTAAAATATCTCATTAATAATTCTGCATATTGGTTACATGTTGAAATGATAATATTTTGGATATACTGGGGAAATGAGATATAATATTTTGGATATACTGGGGAAATGAGATATAATATTTTGGATATACTGGGGAAATGAGATATAGTATTAAAATTCATCGCCTGTTTCTTTTTACTTTCTTAGTATGTCATCTATAGGAAATTGACAATTTTAGAGGCGCCTGGGTGGCTCAACCTGTTAAGCGTCTGCCTTCAGCTCAGGTCATGATCCAGGGTCCTGGGATGGGAGCCCCACGTCGGGCTCCCTGCTGGTGGGGAGCCTGCTTCTCCATCTCCCTCTGCCGCTCCCCCCATTTATGCTTTCTCTCTCACCAATAAATAAAATCTTTTTAAAAACTGAAAATTTTATTTAAAAAAAAAAACCTGAAAATTTTAAATGTGGTTCAAATTTGTGGTTCACATTACATATGTATTAAATTTCAGCTAAAGACACTAAGAGGATTTGGACTGAACCAGGGTTTCTCATCCTGGGCATCACTGACATTTCAGCTAGATAACTCCCTGTGCAGGGGCTCTGCTGAATTATGGGGGTTGAACAGCACCCCTGACCTCTCCCCACTTGATGCCTTAGCACCAGACCCCAGTTGTGACAACCAAAAATGTCTCCTGACTTTGCCATGTCCCTCGGGGCGGGGGGGGGGGGTTCCAACACAGATGACAACCACTGGTTTAGACTTCTAGAATCCAGAGTGAGAATGTGGGGCCTCCCTCTCTAGGAGGGACTACGAACATGAGAGGCTGGGCATGGTTCTGCCTGAAGGAGATGGATACACTTGACAAGTTCCTTTTTCTTTTTGGTCTTGGATTCTTAGATAACATCGATCAGTGGACAATCACAGAGAAACTTTCTCAGAGTTTCTCAACAACCCATGGGATTTCTCAGCTGCTCAGAGGGGAAGCCCCACAGACAAGACCAATTACACCTGGAAAAGATTTCAATATCAGCCTCCCTTCTCAGGAGCTCTTGGAGCTCTCTCACCTTCTAGAACCAGCTTTCATTTGTCAGGGAGCAAGGGGACTCCATACACTCTACTTTGGGTCCTGCCCCCCAATCACTCTCACAACCAGTCACCCACCTGTCCATCTCCTTCCTCACTCGCTGCCTACCCACCCAGCCACCTGTCTATCCAAACACCCATCAACTCAGTCACCCCCCCATTTCCCTGCCCAATCATCTTTATTTTATTTTATTTTTTTTAAGATTTACTTATTTGAGAGAGACAGAGAGCAAGCGAGCATGGGGAGGGGCAGACAGGGAGGGAGAGAGACAAGCAGACTCTACACTGAGCGTGGAGCCTGACTCAGGGCTCGATCCCGGGACCCTGAGATCATGACCTGAGCTGAAACCAAGAGTCAGACGCTCAACCAACTGAGCCACCCAGGTGCACCCCCATCAATCGTCTTTAGCTACCTGCCCTTTCATCCTCCCACCCACCTCGCTGCCAGCCCTCCCCACCTTCCATCCACCCACCCTTCCATCCCAACCAAAGAGCAGATACATCATTGCTAAGCAACTGCAATGGACCAGCAAGTCAGGAACTGGGGGATTCATAGAACAAGCAGGATCCCTACCCTAAAGATACCTCTATCTAGAAAGACATGTATCATATGACCTCACTGATATGAGGAATTCTTAATCTCAGGAAACAAACTGAGGGTTGCTGGAGTGGTGGGGGGTGGGAGGGATGGGGTGGCTGTGTGATAGACACTGGGGAGGGTATGTGCTCTGGTAAGCGCTGTGAATTGTGCAAGACTGTTGAATCTCAGATCTGTACCTCTGAAACAAATAATGCAATATATGTTAAGAAAAAAAAAAAAAAAAGAGGGGGCGCCTGGGTGGCTCAGTTGGTTGAGCAACTGCCTTCGGCTCAGGTCATGATCCTGGAGTCCCTGGATCGAGTCCCGCATCGGGCTCCCTGCTCGGCGGGGGGTCTGCTTCTCCCTCTCCCGCTCCCCCCTCTTGTGCTCTCTCTCTCTCTCAAATAAATAAATAAAATCTTAAAAAAAAAAGAAAAAAAAAAAAGAAGATGATAGCAGGAGGGGAAGAATGAAGCGGGGGTAATCGGAGGGGGAGACGAACCATGAGAGACGATGGACTCTGAGAAACAAACTGAGGGTTCTAGAGGGGAGGGGGTTGGGAAGATGGGTTAGCCCGGTGATGGGTATTAAAGAGGGCACGTTCTGCATGGAGCACTGGGTGTTATACACAAACAATGAATCATGGAACACTACATCAAAAACTAATGATGTAATGTATGGTGATTAACATAACAATAAAAAATTTTTAAAAAGATACCTCTATCTAGTGAGAAAGAGAAGCATGTCCACCAATAACTCCCCCAGCCAAAGCACAGAAATTGCTCTGCAGGAGAGAGGATGATTACTGTAAGGCAAGATTATCAAGAAAGGCTCAAGGATGAGACTGACCCTGGCTGGGTCTCCGTGGGTGAACAGGATTTCAAAAGAGGTGACAGGGGGCTGGGGAGAAACCGGTAGGCCAGGCAGAAGGGAGGGCCTGCGCAAGCCTGAGGTCAGAGGGAGGACGTTTGTTGGGACAGGAGGATGTGCTTCACCCAGTGGCCTGGGAGAAAGTTTGGGCTGGAAATAGCACACTGTAAGTCAGCAGAGTGGGCCCTCTCTGGAGCCTTCCTATGACTCTCCCAGTACTACCTAGGGCCCTACAGATAGGAAGAGTCTGGAAAAAGTCTCTTCTTCCCTCCCAGAGTTACTGTAAGGCCATCCCTCTGCCACCATCAGGTGTCAAACCTGCTCTCCCAGCCTGTCCTGTGGCCCAGCCCTATTCCTCCTGGGCCTCTTCCCCTCCTGCAGGGTATCGCCATGCAACCAAGCCTCAATTTAAGGAACAGACATTTTCTGGGAAAAAATAATCATGCAAACCCACGGATTTTACAAACAGAATTACATATGAAATGCATCTATGGAGCCTCCAAGGAAAGATTCTCCAGGCAGCCTCTCATAAGGCAGTCTACTCCCCCTGCCCTTGGGTACATCCCTGTCTGTCTTCTTCGCCAGTTTTCCTTCCTAAAATGAGGAGGATGAGCCACACAATGGCTCCACTCTGTTTTTCTAAGCCCAACATCATGTTGATCCAACATCCACCAAACAAATATTTTTTGAGTACCAACTACGTGCCAGACACAGTCCCAGGCATTGGGATGCAGCAGGGGAGGAGTGCATAGTGCAGGGGGTGTGGGGGTGTGGTCAGCGAGCCAGGAAATGAGTGCACGAACAAAACAATGTCAGGAAGTGACCCGAGGACAACAGAACCAGGTAAAGGGTAATGTGAGAGAAGGTGACCGGGACGGGAGGCCTCTCCGAGAGCTCTGAGGAGGAGCCCGGATCTGGTGGCAGGGTGTCCCAGGAGGAGGACACCGCAAGTGTAAAGCCCCGGGTGTGATGGCTGGGCATTAGGGGAAGGGGAGGCTGGAGCCACAGCGTGGCCCACAGGGAGCTAGGACAAGGAGGAGAGGCCAGAGAAAAGGGCCTCATGGACCAGGGAAAGAATGTGGGTTTTATTCAAGTATGCTGGAGAGCCACTGGATAGTTTCACATAGAGGAGTGACATGATAAAATTTGTTACTATTATTATTTAATCTCTCTGGCCACTGAAGGAAGAAGAATTGAGGGTGGCGGGGGGGAGGGGGAGATAGGGGCCCCCGTCAGGAGGCTCCTGCCATGGCCCAGGTGAGAGCCATGGTGGCCTGAACTGTGGTGGTGACAGAGAGAAGGAAAGAGGGATGGACTGGGAACACATCTTGTAGAGTGAGCCAAGGGGAGATGGGCTGGATGGGGATGAAGGCAGAGACAAAGAGAAGAAAGAAGGAAGACTCCTAGATTTTTGGCCTGAGCAATTCCTGGTGCTGTTAGTAAGATGGGAAAGATGGGGGGAGGGGAGTTTGGGGAGATGGTGGCCGGCAGTGGGGGGCAGGGGGAGGAAAAGTTCCGTTTCTGGCTATTGAGGGTGAGGAGAAGACACCAGTGCAAAGGAGACCAAGGCCCTGAGCCGGGGAGATCAGAGGAAAATCAGGGCGGAGTGTGAACCTAGAGGCAGGAACGAGGTCCTGTCCAAGGCCAATTGGGGGGGTGGGGGGAGACCAGCACAGAGTAGTGAGCAGAGGTGCTGGTCCCAGAGCCAAGCCGGACTCGCAAGGGGAGAATGGGAGTCAAGAACGAGGAACTGGCGAGGACCAGCAACTCTTTGGAGAAGTTTTCCTCAGAAGAAAAGCAAATAAACTGGGACAGTAGCTAGAGCAGAATGGACTCAAGGAATGGTTTTGTAATTGAGG